ATATGGAAAGGTGAAGCACAATAGGTTGCATTTTAGTTGGACCGACTCTAACTTACCAGGACCAGTGGGACACAGAAGGGTGATGTTTGCCATTTCTGATTATCTACTGTGAATTTTTAGATATCTAGTTTTTCAAAATTTATAATATTGTATATAAAATGGAGTGAATGAATGTGTTATAAAAGTGCATCATAAAAATTTTGAGGTAGAGTTACAGTCACAAGAAGATCTCAGTCAAACATGAAGAAAAGAGAATAAAGGCTAAATACAAGGGGATAAGGAAGGCCTGATGCAGGTACTGAGCATGGGTTATAAAAGGATATGAAGCTAATTGTTTTCTAATTGCACTTGTCATGGATTTTTTGTTTGTTTTGGTGGTGGGTAAGTGCATAAAATATATTTGGTACTAAAAAGTATACAAATTTAATGTGAAGCTCTATAGCTTCCATCCAAAATGCCTATTCTAACTATACAGATGTTTGTTGAGTTGTATAGACTTTAAGTCTAGTGAATTTTGGTTTATGATGTTTTTGTTTATTTGGAATATTTTATGACTAAGTTTGTAAAATTAAAAGAAAACAGAATCTCTGGGAGAATGGTTTAAAATGGCCCTTGGCAGGATCAATACTCTTAACTAGATCAGTTGGTGTTCTTATGAATTGCTATCTTTTCTTTTCTTCTCTCAAATCTGTCCTTTGCCTGTGAACCTGGTATTGGAGATTGTATTTGTAGAGCAATGGCACAGTTTGCTTGCCTTGGCCACACTGGCTAAATCTATATACTAATTTAAAAAGGATTAAGCCAGACTCTGAAGTAGGGATTGTGAAAAAGGAAAGAAATAGAATCTCTCTTTGTGGTCAGTATCCAGGGAGGGTCGGTTAGGAGGGAGACCATTCTCTTATTTCTTTACTGTTCTCTGACATTCAGTTGCCTTGGAGACAGGATGATTGTTTCAGGATTAGGCCTGAATGTCAGCGAGTCAGTTGTCAGTGTGTGGCCATTCTTACCCTTGCTAGGAGATCCGTCTGCTCTTCTGTATCGAGTGGAAGTACATGCTAGTACATATTTGTTGTACTGTGGATTTTTATTTCCTGGACTTGAGTTTACTATTGGTTGATTCATTCATTTACTCATGCAGTCTACAAATAATTTGGTTGTCAGTCATTCCCATCCTATTTGACTATATATAAATGATTTTAAATGAGAATTATGAGACAGTTGGTGAAGCTTCTAAAATAAGGGATTTAACATATGAGGAGTCAAAGAAAGAAGAAAATATCTCTAATTTGTCTTCAAAAACCATGTGATTAACCAGCATACTAGCAAGCGGAAGACTGAGAAAAGCAAACACAAAGGAAAAATAAACAAAGATTTTGTTAAAGAAAATTGTTAATCTGACATCACGTAGAAATAATTTAGCTTCCCTGATCAAGTATATGAAGACAATCTTAATTATCTGGCTCTAAAAGACTGTGGGCTGGGATACTCAAGTGTATTACAGAATTACAATATTCTGTAATAATTTTTACTATATTATAATAATTTAAAAAATCACACCCCAATGCAGGAATTTATGCTTATTGTAAGACATGCAATATACAAAGCAGTGATTGAAGGGAACCGTACAATGTCTGTGTGTGATGAGGACCCAGGGGAGCAGGTCATGACCACTTGGGAAACACCATCGTAGTTCTCTCATTTTAGTCAGTTGGGGGATTTTCTCTCTCCTAGCACTGGTCCTTTATGTTGGAGTATAATATTATAGGGTTTTGTTCCTGCAAACTGTGCCTCTGTCTGATTCAGAACCCACAGAGTTTTATAAGAGTTTCATAGAAATGCAGCCAAAATGATAAATAAAAATAGTCAACCCTCCCCAGGTAACATTGTGATCCCTTGCTGTGGTACTGGAGCTTGAGTTCAGGACTTCCTATAGGTTAGGGCTAGTGTGTGCCACTGAACTACAGCCCTAGCCTCATGCCTCTAATCTCACTCTAAATCTCTCCCTGTGAAGGGAGGATATTCTAGGGATTCTGTTTATAATTTAGTCTTCTTTGTTCCACATAGGATGTCTAACATTCACAATGAAAATGTGACATTTCTTCAAGAATCTACCACTGAGACAGACTGATAAGGCAGAAGTCAATCTGTGTGGTAGCTTCCAAAGAAGGCAGTGGGTGGTGAAACAAGTAAACAGCTTTATTTTCAAGATGGCCTATTCTGAAGTGCTGGTACAGGGTTCCAGTCAGTCCCGGCCCAGGGTCTAGGCTAACAGGTTGAATTTGGGCAGTCCTGGACAAGATGAAAACCTGAAAGGATCTCAGACTTTCTTCCTAGACCAAAGGAAATCCTGTGAAACAAGGACATGGGATATAGGTAAAGAAAAAGATACTTCGTATTGAATTTGTGGTTCCAGATTTTACTTGAACCAGGTGACTTGCTTTTTATAAGAGTTATACCCTAGCCTGGTAAATCAGTGTCAACCACCACCACCCCCCCACACACAGAGTGGGTACATAGCCACTGCTCACAACTACACAGGTACCTCACAGTATTGGCTCAATAGTCCACCCTAGATACAGGATGGCTGAATCTGTACAGATTTTCTTGATACCCATGCCTGACTAGTCATTCAGTATTGTAAATATACTACAGTGGCATCCACAGGCTAAAGTTAAGACAATGCATTTAGTTAATGAACAATTAATATTGCTAGAAGTATGACTGTGCATGATTATAATCCTAGTACTCATGAGGCTGAAGCAGGAAGATAGCAAGGTCAAGGACAACCTAGAATGCATCCTAACAAGCACAAAACCAGCTAATTACTGCCAGTACATTTCAAGTTCAGTAATGTCCCATGACGTAGTAGAATATGTTACAAATTGCTTACATGAAAGGAGAATCTTTGGAGAAGCAATTTAAAATAAACAGAGAAAGGAATTCATGTTTCTTGCTCTAAAATATATTTAAAATTCTGCAATATTTCTTTCAGCATGTAAAAATTTTTACATAACTTGCATTGGTATGTATGCATTATATATGATGACCTAGATAAAGACATTTTTAACAAATACGTCATGCTCTGTAACCATATTTACCCTGCTTCCCCTTTACCCCTCTACTCTCTCCTTCTATTCCCTGTGTTTCCCTAGACAATTATCATTTCTACTTTCAGGTCACATATGCAAATGGTAAAATATTCGAACTACAGATGAGAGAAAAATGTGATTTGTTTTGCTCAATATGATGACTTCCAGTTGCCTTGATTATGGTTTCATTCTTCTTTATGGCTGGATAGCATTTCCACACACACACACACACACACACACACCATAGTTTCTTTATGTATTCATATGTCAAAAAATACCCAAGATGATTCTATAAATTATTTTTGCAACTCATAAGGCAGCAAACATTTATCTCTAATATGTTCACTTAAGATATACCTAGGCCTACATTAATTATTTTTGAGGAAACTCCATGTTGATTTCCACAGGGACTGCACCAGCTTATATACCATCATCTGTGTATAAAGTTCCTCTTCTTGATGTTCTCCCCAGCATTTGTTGTCATTAGTGTTCATAACAGTCATTCTAACTAGGGTAGTTGGAATCTCAAAGCCACTGTTGTAAGATATAGTGGATTATCTTTTTGATGTGTTCTTGGATTTGGTTTGCAAGTATTTTATTGATATTTTTGCATCTATATTCAGAAAGAAAATTGGTCTGTAATTCTCTTTCTTTGTTGGGTCTTTATGTGGTTTGGGTATGAGGGTAACTGTGGTACTGTAAAACAAATTGAGAGATGTTCTTTCTGTTTCTGATTATTTTATTGTTGTTTTGGTTGGGAGACATAAATTACTGCCTGTATTTCATTAGAGTTATGTCTGTTTAAATTGCTTATCTGATCTTGATTCAACTTTGGCAATTGGTATGTATGGAGAAAGCTATCCATTTCTTTTATATTTTTTTAATTGGTGGACTACAAGATTTTAAAGTATGTCCTTATGATTTTCTGTTGTTATATCACCCTTTTCATTTCTGATTTTGTTAATTTGGATATTCTCACTCCACCTTTTAGTTAATTTGGATAAGGGTTTGTCAACCTTACTGGTTTTCTCAAAGAACCAACTCTTTATTTCATTGGTTCTTTGAATTGGTTTTGTTCGTATGTGTGTTTCTATTTTATTGATTTCAACCTCAAGTTTGATTTTTCTTGCTGTCTACTTCTTTTGGATATGATTTCTTCTTTTTGTTCTAGAGCTTTCAGGTGTGCTGCTATGTTACTAGAATGAGATCTCCAATTTCTTTGTGTTGCTACTTAGTGAAATGAACATGCCTCTTAGAACCACCTTAATTATGTACCATAAGTTTGGATATGTTGTGTATTCATTTTCATTCAATTCTAATTTCTTTTGTAATTTATGTCCTGACCCACTTTTTATTCGGTAGAGAATCATTTAGTTTCCATGAGTTTGTAAGTTTGTTGTTTCTGTTGTTGTTGAAATCCAGTTTTAATAAGCTGTGGTCATATAGGATGCAGGGTGTTATTCCAATATTTTTGAATCAGTTGAGGCTTCCTTTGGGTCTGAGTATGTCATCAGTTTTGGAAAAAGTTACATGAGGTACTGTGAAGGTGCATTCATTTGTGTTTGGGAGAAATGTTCTGAAATATCTGTTAGGTCCATTTACTCTAGACTAGACTTTCTCTGTTTAGTGTTTGTCTGGATTACCTGTCTGTTCATGAGAGTGGGATATTGAAGTCTCCCACTATCAGTCTGTGAGGGTCAATATATGATTTAAGCTGTATTACTGTTTCTTTTGTAAAACTGGGTGCCCTTGTGTTTGAGACATAGATGTTAAGAATTGAAATGTCCCCCTGGTGGATTTTTCCCTTGGTTAGTTTTTGTTTGATGTCTGTTTTGTCAGATATTAAAAGGGCTATACCAACTAGCTTCTTAGGTCCATTTGCTTGGAATAGATGAATTTTCTTAATCAGAGATGGCGTTTATCCTTGATGTTAAGGTGCGATTTTTGGTGCAGCAGAAAGATAGATCCTGTTTTTTCATCCATTCTGTTAGTCTGTGTCTTTTTTAATTGGGAAATTGAAACAATTGATGTTGAGAGTTATCAATGACCAGTGTTTGCAGATTCCTGTTATTTTTTCATTGTGGTATTTTTTTTTGATTTGCTGGTCTAGGATTATTTATTCACCTTATTTTTTAAAGGAATAGTTAGTCTCTACAAGTTGAAGTTTTCCTTTTGGCCCCTTCTTTAGGACTGGATATGTAGATAGTATAAATTTGGATTGAAAGTGCTGCTGAGTATAGTAGTCTAGGCTGTCATCTGTGGCCTATTAGAATCTGCAGCACATTTGTACAGGTCCTTCTGGCTTTTGGAGTCTCCATTGAAAAGTCAGGTGTTATTCAAATATATCTGCCTTTATATGTTACTCAGTCTTTCCCCCTTACAGCTGTTAATATTCTTTGTTGTTGTTGTTTAGTGTTTTGACTATTATGTGCCAAGGGGTATTTCTTTCCTGGTTCATTCTATTTGGTGTTCTAGATGCTTCCTGTACCTCCATAGGAACCTCCACCATTAGTTTATGGAATTTTTTCTATGATTTTGTTGAAAATATTTTCTGTGCCTTTGACATGGGTTTCTTCTTCTTTTCTATTACTGTTATTCATAGACTTGGTCTTTTCATTGTGTCCCAGATTTTAATGTTCCTTTAACTGAGGTATCCATTTCTTCATTCACGCCTTCAATACCTGAGATTCTCTCTTCCATATCTTGTATTCTATTGGTGAGGCTTACTTTGGAGGTTCTTGTTTGAATTCCTAAATTTTCTATTTCCCAATTTCCCTCAGTTCAGGTTTTCTTTATTAATTCTATTTTCACTTCCAGGTCTTGCTTATTCTGTTTTCAAGTGTTTGCATTCTCATAGACTGCTTTAAGGGATCTATTCATTTCCTCTTTAAAACCTGTATCATATTTATAAAGGCTGTGTTATGATCTTTGTCTTGTGCTTCAGCTGTATTGTGATTCTCAGGACCTACTATAGTAGGGTTGCTGGCCTCTATTGTCCTGGTTGTTATTGATTGTGTTTTTATCCTGGTATCTAGACATCTGGGTTTGGGAACATTGTAATTCTAGTGCTGATATCTAGTCTTGTCTATTGTTAGGTCAATGTTTAGTTCCTTGGTTTCTTTTACCCTCTCTAGTTCTTAGGAGAGTGTGTTGCCTGATAGGGAATTCTCTGGGATTCTGATAGGTATGGCCACTGATGGTACTGGAACAATGTGTTTCTATGTATTGGGAGTTGATATTTAGGAATGTGTGTTCTGCCAGGATCTGTTTAGTCCCCTGAGAATGGGAGCAGAGAATGAGAAGAGACCACAGCAGGTAGTTTGCTACCAAGCTGGGGATGAGACTGGGGGATTAACATAGAGAAGAATAGGAAGAGTGACAATCTGAGGCTAGCCTACCTGCTTTGCTGGCCTATTCGCTTCTCTGGCTGGCTGGTGGGTTCCCAGGAAATGTCTGCTGTTGGTGTTGGGGGCTGGGATAATGAAATGAGTTGGGGAGAGGGAGTTGGAGGGGAAGATCTATGTGATCCACTTGAGATGGGGTCAGGTGGAGAGGAGAGGCAGCCGCAAGTGGTCTGCTGCAAACTGGGGATGAGACCAGGGGAGTAGATTTGGAAGAGAGGAAGAAGACATAAAGATCTTGCATTAGACTAATTGCTCCCCAGGCCAGAGTGGCTTGTGAGTTTCCAAGGAATGCCTGTGGGAGTTGGGGGCTGGGTAATGGGATGAGTTCCATGCCTGCCTGTATCTTAGAGTGCTTTCCTTATACTTTCTCATAGCAATTGCAACATTTCAGGCTTTTGTAAAATTAATTTTTTATTTAAATTAAGAACCATCTTAGTTTATATACCAATCCCAGTTCCCTCTCCCTTCCATCCTACTATGCTCCCCAATATCTCCCCATCCCACACCCCCATCCACTTTTCAGAGAAGGTGAGGCCTCCCATGGGGGATCATCAAAGTCTGACACATCATTTGGGGCAGGACTGAGGCCATCCCTCATGTATCTAGGCTGAAAGAGTATCCCTCCATAAGGATGAGGCTCCAAAAGCCCATTCATACACTAGGAATAAATACTGGTTCCAACGCCAATAGCCCCATAGTCTTCCCAAGCCCCCAACTCACACCCACATTCAGGAAGCCTGGTTTGGTCTTATGCAGGTTCTCCAGCTGTCAGTCCAGAGTCAGTGAGCTCCCACTTGCTCAGGTCAGCTGTTTCTGTGGGTTTCCCCAGCATGGTCTTGACCCCTTTGCTCATCCTTCCTTCCTCTCTATAACTGGATTCCAGGAGTTTGGCTCAGTGCTTAGCTGTGAATCTCTGCTTCTGCTTCCGTCATCTACTGGATGAAGGATCTATGATGGCGTTTAACATCATTCTTTAAATTAATTTTTCCTATTAACTCTGGATTGATTTTTGTGCACAGTGAAAGTATGGATCTATTTCATCAGAGGGGATGATAAGATAATTCTTGGGGGTAGTACAGACATTACGATTGGCTAGTTGGTGTTATATATAGTTTCATAGAATGTACAAGGCAGGCTGGTTCTATTTAAATTTCTAAAAGTGGGACTATTTGGGAAACATTTAAAGTAGTTGGAAATGTAAAACTTTTTGTGGTGGTAAGCAATGAGCTAATGGAGGAACCTGCTATTACAAAGAAGTAAATAATATGGAGCTATTTTAGATAATTTATTTAAAACTATTGTAGATGATTAGAAAATACATATATACATAATCCAGATACTATTGTCTCAGCATGTTTTAAAGTGTTTTAGATAGAATTAATGTTGTTAACGAGCCTATACTTTCATCTTAAGTATTCCTGATCTCTTCAAATGAATTTATATACTATCATCATGGTTATTACTTTTTCTTTTTATAACGTTTAATTTTTTTAGGGGTCCCACTCTTTTGTATATTCACAAAGATGTAAAACCATAACAAGTATCTTGTCCAAGAACGTTCTTGCCACATCCAAAGGCAACTGTATATCTCTATGTGGCTCCTTCCCAGCTTCTTTGCCAGCATGTGGAAACTACCATTTATTCTCTATTTTATGGATTTGCCAGATTCAGGCATCCCATTCAAATTGGAATTATGCTATATATGGCATTTCATATCTATCTAATCTCACTTATAGACTCTGTTGTAATATGTATCACTATTTCATTGTTTTATGGTTGAATATTCTGTTGTGTGGATGTGCCCATCTTTTGTCCACAGTGAGTACTTGCAGGATGTTAGGACTAACCTGCTGTGGCCACGGCAGCTTTGCAGTAAGTTTTCAAATTAGGAATTGTGACTCTTCTGCTTTTTTCTTTTCAGAATTATTTAGACTAGTGGTTCTTAACCTATGATTTGTGACTCCCTTTGGGGGGTCAAACAACCCTTTCACAGGCATCTCCTAAGAGCATCAGAAAACACATATATTGACAATGTGATTCATAACAGTGCCAAGATTACAGTTATGATGTAGCAACAAAATAATTTTATGGTTGGGGGTCATTACAATATGGGGAACTGTATTAAAGGGTATCAGGAAAATTGGAAACCTCTGGTTTAGATTATTCTAGATTACTTGCATTTCCTTGGGAATTTTAAGATTAGCTAGTTCATTCTTCAAAAATGGTAGATTTTTTTTCATGTAACTGCAGATGGAACCCAATGACATATGCAAAATAGGCAAGTGATCAAACTGAACTATGTATCTTGCTGATAGTTTGGATTTTGATAGGGACTGTGTTGACTATATATTAATCTGAGCAATATTGAAATTTTAAAACAGTATTTAGATTGAGAGTATTGCTCAGTAGTAGATCATCTGCCTAGCTATCATAAGGCCCTGTGCTTAACCCTGAACACCAAATACACACATACACACATACATACATGTACACATACCATACATACATACATATACCACAATACAACATATACATGTATACACATACATACACCTACATGGACACACTGTTCATATAACACACACATGCACATATATACACCATACTGCATACATTAACATATTACACACACATGCATACACCACACACATACACCACATACACATACAACACACACATCATGCACCTGCATACACAAACACACACACATAACCACACACATGCACACATACATATATATGCATAATGCATACACATGTACACTCCTCCCTACACACGTACACAGCTTTCCACACAATACACTTGTGCACACATACACATATGTGCACACACATACAAACTGTCGTGCTTGCAAGTATATATTGACTATTTTAATTCATAGATACAGGAGGACTCACATTTATTTAAGTCTTATTTTTTTTAACAATGATTTCTGGTTTTAGGAATATAAGTTTTATTTTGTTGTATTTGTTTCTAAGTTTTTGCTCTTTATCGATGGCATTTCAATGGATGCTTTTCTTATGATTTTGTATCCTTGATGAATTTATTAGTTCTAATAGACTTTTGTGATTTTATTAGGGTTTCTCATATATGAAATATATATGAAACATATTTGAGATTATAACTTTTCAATTATTTGATGTCCCCTCTTGCCTTCCTGTTTGCCTATTTCACTCTTGCTGTCTGCTTCCTCTTTCTTACCTTTTCTTTTTCCTTCCCATTCTCCTCTCCTTCTAAATTTTTAAAATAAAAATAAATAATGCTTTGGTAGAGCTCATATACATGCAAATGCCTGGCAGTCCCATCTTCAAAGGGGGCTTTAAAGTTGCTCCTTCTCAGAAATGTTTGATCACTCCTATGAAGTTCATGCCACTATTGTATCATTAGTTGCGTCTTTCTGGGCAATCCATCACTGTAGCTTGCAGGGTTTACAGCTTGGTATGATTGATGATGACTTTTTTCCTCCAGTAGTAGACATAGTGGCTTTCATGGTTACAAAAGCTGGACAAAACGGATGAAGCTTCGAGGCCA